ATGAAATAGAGTGAGTGATCTGGCTTGCCACCCAATATTCCAAGACAAGTCTTTTGCGACAAAATCTGACGAATATGATCTATGTACACCTGAAAAGAAGTCGTACGGAGATACACAAATGAATCTCTTCAATATCCTTTGCTATACACAGTTGATAACTTACTGGATTTACATTATTAGTGCCAAGGCGAAGGGGAACGAATAATAAGAGACGCTTTGACCAATGACGGCATTCGCGTTCGGCTTCAGCAACTACGACCACCCCATCAACGGCCAGAAGTAGAGCAAGGTCGCTAGTCAAAGGAGATGCAGAACGTTTCAAAGCTTTTCTAGAAAAAACACTGAAATCAAGAAAACTCTAGTCTAGATGCAATCCTTGAAAAACCCACTTTATAAGCGAAATAACTTCAGAAGGTGCGAACCACCGTCCGGCAGAACTCTCAGCGGATCCATCAGCATTCGACATTTCGATTAGTTTATGAATTCCGAGAGGCGCAGACGGGCAGTCCTTCAATATTATGAATATGAAAAAATATTCTATGCTTTTTTTTTATCAAAAACTCCACTCATTACTTCAATTAGTTAGTGAGATATAGTTGGGAATTATGGTGCTACCAAAAGTCAGTTTTTGGACTCCAAGATCGAGCGAAAAATAAGTTCTCTCGATATCAAAGAAAACCCTACACAATACCCTTACAAAGCAAAACTTAACGAATGGGACAAATCGGTTGGCTTGGGTCACAAATACCTAGGCTGAGGAAAGATCTAAAAAGGATTCCGAACCAATCAAGTGTCCGAGTAGGCACTGGGGGCTCGATTCCATCCACTCAAAAGGCCGCACGATACCATCAATCGGCCAATAGTACGTGTAGAGTTTATACAGCATGCACGATTCTGAAGCCCCACACTGGGTATCGCTAGTCCCATCAAACATTCCACCCCTCCAAGATTTCGAATTGTTAATGTTTTCAAATTAAACAAAACCTAAGCTCCTACATGGACTCGCTACACTAATCATTGCATAGACAAAATACGCATAGGAAAGTGCAGCAGCTCTTGAGAAAGGTCATGGTCGCAATCCAAAACAGGACCGAACAATACCAGATCCTTCATCATCCACCACTTTACCCTTGCGAATAGCACAATTGATCTTATTTCATGAAAAAGCAATAAAAAGGACAGGCGTACTGAACATGATGAAAGGTAAAGTGAACTAATGAAAGCAGAAAGTTCTCACGCATTACTTTGAAGAACCCAGATAAATCAAAGAGCGAAGTTTAGTAACACTTTAACTTCAACAGCAAGAGTTAACCTATTCATAGCTTATAAAGTTCATATAAATTCCAATCTTTCGATACTTCGAACACATTTGTCTGACTCAGCTAAATGACAGCGAAAAAAAAGAGCCAAAAAAGCAATATCCCCACGAATCCGTTCGACTCACCTCAAACAACTTCAGTATTTCTAATTGGGCCTCGTAGAAATGGTCCGATCCCGCTTGAGAAGCCAACTCTTTTCGTCGTGACGTCTGTTTTCGCCCAAAATAACGCCATCCTGCAAAAAGAAATGATACGTTCAGCAAATCAGAACAGATCAATATATCAGACGAATGAGGCTATCACCTCGTCCCAGTCTGTTCACAACTATCGCTTGAGCAATGGCCATTTGTGTTGTTCGAATCATGCAGCCCCAGCCACAGTCACTCGTTAACTGAATTTCATTTTTTTAAGGCCATAACTTGAGATTCAAGAAAATCCCTACTCAATGGAACCAAATAAATTAGTTCAATATTAAGAAATATTGATAAGTATTAAATCGGACACTGGGCTTCCTAATAAACAACTATTCAAGAATCAATCTGATCACATGATTACAATCTAGCTATCCTAATTTCTCATACATCTTACTTGAGATCCAGGTAAAGGCGGCATTCCTGTCCTGTAAGTTATCCACAAACGAGTGTAATAGTCTCGACAGAAATCCAAAAAATCGAGGCCACATTCTGAAGTTAACGTTCCACTCAGAATAAAGGAAAGTCTACAACATGCTCATAAGGAATGAGGCCTACAACGTTCCAACTTACCGCTCTCTTCAGGACAATAGAATTCCCCAAGAAGAACGATCATTTTGAACCCTTGTGATGAATAGTCATCATCAGACAACTTCAGCCATTTTTCTAAAAAAAATAAAATATGAATGCATAAAGCTTGGGGTAAAAACACTGACACGAACCGGAATATTTCAAACTGTTCCAAGCTGAAGATAGCTTGTCTCGCCAATTGTAGGAGGAATTCTGAGTTGCTTCTGCTGCTGGCTCTGGGTTGCGCCAGTTGGACCATGCTGAGCCGGCTCTTAAGTCCGATTATAATCAAATTCAATATTATAAATTTACAGTCTGAATGGAAGTCGAGTGCGGGGGTGCATCCCTCAGACGGGATTTATTAACGCCAAAAACTTTATCCTATTAAATTTACAGTCAGGTTTCTCACATACATAAACTTAAAACAGTGAAAGCTTAATAAAGCTAATATTAGGGTGCTGAACGGACCCAATCTATGGGCGCTTCAAAGTGCGCTTTCGATACAAAGAAATTTAGAAGCATAATACGAGCCTGGGATAGAGCGATCTCTTTGATCACTCCATTTTTCTCAGATGGAATCGACCAGGCAATCCAGTTCTTTTAAACCACCCATGTAATACCAGTTTTTGCTTAGAGAATCGGACACTAAACTGGATACGGATTAAACCACAATAAATCCAACAACGAAACTTTTTCTGAATGTTTCTGGGATCCAAAATGAAAAATCGAGCTTGCGGTATAAACGAACGTACTTTTTGCTGAGATACCCGAAGTATCTCCTATTATAACATTACTTGAACAAAATTTCTTTCTATTTCTGATCGATTCAAGGAAGTACGTCTGTATTAATGTATGCCATCGACTGAAGAACTACAATAGTACAGCTAATGTTTTAAATGTAGAAATAAGATGGTGGGAGTGAATTCAGCCTCATACCTGCGTAATTTACTTCGAAACCAGCCATCGCTTGTCTCCTCCTCCGGAGCAGCACTGCTACTTGGAGGGCAGATTTCAGCCAGATCCGTCAGGCTTGATCTCCCAGATGAGCAGATGTCGTCTGGCGACGACTGCGGCGATGCTGAACTGATTACTGATACATTGATCACCACCAACTTAGAAGCCGTTTATGTGATACAGGGTGTTCCCATCGTAACAGCCTTAGCAAGATGGAGGTCAACCCTTTTGTAATACTTGTTTCCATCCAGTCACAGAGCTGATGGACTAGTTTTCTGAATCATTTTAAAAAACCGCGTAATGTACACCTCGATGAGCCATTATGAGTCCAACAGAAATCGGGTGCCTGGCGTACCCAAAAAAAAA